TGCTGGCCTTCCCTCGCTCTCCCGCTCCGGCTCCCGCTCCCTCCCCCTGGCTGTTCGCTCCTCGCTCCCTTTTGTTGCAAATAAACTTTGTGGCAGTGGAAAGGGGGCGGAGGGGCGGGGCCTCGCGCCCCAAAGAGGGGGTGGGCTCCGGGCGCGCGCCAGGCTGGGAACCGGGTGGTGGGAGGGAATCGGGGAGGAGCCGAAGAAGAAACAAGACTGCTCGAGCACTTGCAGACCGAAGCGACCGACCCTCCGGAGAAGTCCCTCGGGGGCCCAGCCGGCCGAGCTGCGTCCTAGGGACTCGCTCAGACACACACAAGCTCTGAGAATGGTTGGCTCCGCAGCAGATACACAGCCAAGGCGGCGCAGTCTGCCCCGGGGACTCCATCATGGCAACTTGGGACCCACAAACTCTCGTACATACCGACACTCAGGTACACGCAGAAACACACTCTCCTGGCTGGGAAAGGGGTGGGACTCAGCGCCTGCGGGAGTCCTGGGCGTCGGAGGCGGACTAGAGAGCTTGCGGCCCCCAGCCCCGCCCCTTACCTCTCCCAGGCCACGCCCCTTGCCGCACCCTCTGCGGCGAATTCTGCTGACCGTGCCCACCCCCTCCTGCTGCCAGACGCCCCTCCCGTTCCACCTCCCTGCAGCCTGTCCGGCTCCGACCGTCCTCCAGCTCGCCCAGCGCGGCTCCAGAAAGCCCATCTTTAATGACCACGCCCCCACCCCTACTCTTCCAGCTGCCATGCCCCCCACCTGCCCCTGCAATCCGGGCGGCTTTGATCCTGAATGCTCCGCCCTGAGCCGCGACCCCTTTTCTCGGCGCTCTGGGGTACGCGGCTCTTGCGCCCTCTCCTGGCCTGATTTTTCCAACCCACCGGGTCCCGTGCAGATAGAGTAGGACTCCCCAAACCCGAGAGTTAGGAGGACTTCACTTCCTTTCAGTCGTTTCCTAGTCCCCTTAATCTTTTCAAACCTTCGCTAAACGTCCTCTCCTGCGGCCTCACACACAAAAGGAGCTTCGACGGGAACGCCCTCGGCTTCCCACTGCCAAACTGACACTCCCACCTGTGGCAGCTCCACCCTCCTGATAGGAAGGTGTAGGTCGTTTCTCCTGCTTCATATCAATCCAACCCTTGAGCTTCTCTCCCGCCTCTGCCTGCATCTGAAAAGTCTCGCACTCTCACACTATTCTTGGTATTGGGGCGCCATCCCCTTCCCCAAACCCGCCTGCCTCTGCTAGATCCTGTTCATCCTCCCAGACCCAGCTTAAATGCAGGACTCTACATTTGAATGAATGAATGAATGAATGAAAGAAAACTTATGGAGTGCTTATGATGTATGGGCAATATTATTTCATTTAACCTGTGAACCAGCCTTGGAGATAGATATTATTACCCCTTCCCTGTGGGCTATGAAGAAGTAACTTTGACCAGTGTCAAAGTCAGGAGATGGCAGCTCCTGCTACTACTCAAATTCAGATTTCAGGTATTTCGAACACCATGCTTCTCCAGATAGTCTTCCCTGGTCCCAGAGCTCCCTCCTTTGAGTGCCCACTAATCTCCCCCTCCTTTTTGGGCCTAGCCCACCTTCCCTGGGAACAAAGGATAGCCTGGTATGACCCATGCTTCTCTCAGCTCTGCCCCAGCCTCCTTCAGTCCTGGTCAAACTGCCCTGGCCCCTCCAACCCCCAGGAACATGGCTTCAGGGACAGACATGGTTAGGTCAGCAGTCTGTGCTTCACCCAACCAACCTCACTGCCATCCTAGTCCCAGCCAAGGAGACTAACTGGACCAGACTAGGCTGAGAGGCCCAGGTGGGGATGCAGGGAGAAAAGGATGGTGGACATTCATTGATTGCCTGACCACCAAATGAAACACGGAGGATTCAGCCAGGACCCAGACCTTCCTTGCTACTCTCTTACCCCCAGGATGGGAAGGTCATTCTTTACTCTCTGGGCAGTCTCTTGGATTGTGGGATATCTCTAGGGAGAAAGCTCTTCCTCTCTGTGTTGAGACCAGCTTCCAGTGAGTCCTTCATCTCAACTTTGTCTCAGCTCTGCCTCGGGAGACCAGGGAGTAAATCTCTCCCTCCTCACTAGGAAATTGATCATTGGTGAGCAAGGAAAAAAGGCCTCTTTGCCCTGCCTTGCTCTGTGACATTGGGTAAATTCCCATGCTTCCCTGGGCCTCAGATGCCTTGTCTGAAAAGTAAGGAGTAGGTTAGGTTTCCCCAAGGGTGCCCTCTCCGATGCTGGCATTTGAAACCAGACTCTTACCTCCTTAGTCTTTTCTTCCTGCTATTTTGGTGCATGTGTTGGTAGAGGCAGGAGGGACCCTCGTAATAGTGATTCCTACCATCTGAAATTTGTACTTTTCCAAACTCCTTCACATCCTGTCATATTCTGCCTCCCTGTCACTTCTGGCACAAACATTCTCCCATATCACAGAGGGGCAAATGGATGGAGTGGAGACTCAGCTCACAGGCTCCCAGGGTGCTGTGGCTTGGTCTTGAGGTAAATGGTGGGGCCTTTGGCTCAAGAATCCCCTTGGTGGGGAGGAAGGATGTTTAAGGATCTAGACTGGGTCTCTGCCCAAAGGGAAGCTCCAGCTGGGCTCGGTGGCTCAGCCTCTAATCCCATGCCTTTGGGAGACTGAGGTGAGTGGATTGCCTGAGCCCATGGGTTCGAGATCCACCTAGGCAGGCGAGACCTCATCTCTACAATAAATCAAAAAATTAGCTGGGCGTGGTAGCGCGCTCCTGTAGTTCCAGCTACTTGGAAGGCTGAGACGGAAGGATCGCCGGAGCCCAGCAGGTCGAGGCTGCGGTGGCCGGGAGCAGCCACTGCACTCCAGTCTGGGCAACAGAGTGAGACTCTAACTAAAAACAAAAAACAAAAAACAAAGGGAAGCTCATCCAATCAGAGAGTGGCTTGATTGCTTGCTGTGTTTCGTGACTCCTTCCACCCCCAAACCCCTTAGATCCAGAAAGAAACAGTTATCTTCCATGAACAGAGAGGATCTGGAAGTTTTTGGTGACTGAGAAGAATCACCTGGGAGGAGCTGGGAGCACTGGGCACCAGGGTGGAGAGAGAAACTGTGTTCTAGGATTTTGAAGCCAGGCCCACACACAGATGTGCTGGGTGACCCTCAACAGGCCACTCCCTTTCTCTGGGCTCAGGCTCCTCATCGAAGAAAACAATAAAATCCATCTACCCAGTGAGTCATGGTCGCCCAGTGAAGTCAGGGCCATAGAATCTCTTGGAGAAATCAAGATGGGAAGGTTTTGATGGTCACAGTCATGGCTTCAGGTACAGATGATCCTCAATTTATGATGACTGAACTTAAGTTTTTTTGACTTTATGATGGCATGAAAGCAATAGGTGTTCAGTATAAACCATACATCAAGCACCCACACAACCATTCTGTTTTTTACTTTTAGCACAGTAGTCAATCAATTACATGAGATGTTCAACATTTTCTTATAATTAAGGTTTTGCGTTAGAAGATTTGACCCAACTCTAGGCTAATGGAAGTGTTCTGAGCATATTTAAGGTAGGTTAGGTTAATTTCTGATGTTTGGTGGATTAGGTGTATTAAGTGCATTTTCAACTTATGATATGTCCAGTTTATGATGGGTTCATTGGGATATAACTCCATTGTCAGTGAGGAGCATTTGTAATTAAGAGAAAAATAATGACAAATAAGGGGATCACAAGAAGCAAGGAGCTCCAGGAAGGGCTGTCTTAGGGGAAAACCTGGCTCCTGACTCCTGACTCCATGAGATTGCTCCCTTTCCTACATCATTAGACCTCAAGTACAAAGGATTGGGTTACTTATAATCCTTTGTTCATGATACTTCCTTTTTTTTTTTTTTTTAAATCAGGTCTCTACTCTGTTGTCTTTCCCAAGCAGCTGGGACTACAGGCACGAACCACCATGCCTGGCTAATTTTCTGATTTTTTTTGTAGAGACGAGGTTTACTCTTTTGCCAGGTTGATCTTCAACTCCTGGGCTCCAGCAATCCTCCTGTCTTGGCCTCCCAAAGTGCTGGGATTACGGGTATGAGCCATGCCACTGGTCATGATACATTATCATCCGTTATTTAACTGGCTCTTACCAAAAGACAGAACAACATAACTAAGACCTTTCCAATAACTTGCATCTCATTATATAGTTTCCCTACCAGCCATCCTCCTGCTGTCCCACCATGCACATAAGCATCATCTCAAATCCTGTGTACTACATTCTCTTGCTTTCCTTTTTGTGTGATTCTTATTGCCTCTCCATATTTCTTCAAAGTTTACATTTTCGTTTTAGTTGTTTTTAACTTTATAAAGAGAATATTTTACTGTATCTACTTTTTTGGGACTTCTTTTCTTTAATATTATACTGCTAAGATTTATCCATGTTGTTGCATGTCAGGATAGTTTATTCTGGCTATGTGGAATATTTTATTGTGACTGTAGCATGATG